ATTTATTCTTAAAAGATGTCTTTCAAGAAGTATCCTATACCTGGTCATGTTGGAAAAATAAGTTTACTAAAATAACACAGACACAAAATGAAAAATAATCTCTCATATAAGAACAATACTATGCAATTCAAAGTGCAACCCAACTTTTAAAGGTTAGTTACTGAGATACTAAGAGCATCAGATTTACTTATGAGGTAAATCTTATAGCATGGACTCAAAGGATGCCATAACTCAAAGGATGGAAGACTCTGTTATATACTGGAAGGGAGGAAGAGGGATAGATAAATATATATTTTTTCACCTATATATACGGTGTACCAAAAAATGTGCACACTTTGAATAATTATAAAGGCATTGTTACCTGGCCAGTGTAGCTCAGTAGTTGAGCACTGATCTATAAACCAGGAGGTCACGGTTCAATTCCTAGTCAGGGCACACGCCCTGGGTTACAGGCTAGATCCCCAGTAGTGGGTGTATAAGAGGCAGCCAATTTCTCTGCCATCATTGATGCCTCTATCTCTCCTCCCTTCTTCAATGAAATAAAATATATATATATTTCATAAAAAGAAAAAAATAAGACTACTCCAACCATGAAGACAGAAGAGAAGCAATCCAGAGATGGAAGACACTGGCAACGCCTTGCCATAATAACAGTCAGCAGCTGTGTATCACTGCAGGTTGCCCAGGACCAAACCAGAGAGGGTTGGACCTGCCTACCACCATTTATCCACCATCCAGAACTGAAATATCATAGCTGACACATACACATAAAGAACTGTTTGACATTAAAATTGGGTCTCAAAAGAACTGTTGGCCCAGAAAGAAACTCACTACAGACTGATTCATATGCCTCTCAGCATAATGATTAATGCTTGTCTCATTTTTTTATTCTTATAAGTATATTTCCAGTAGGACATGATCTCACTCATCTAGGAGAAATGGTGAACAACATAGACTGATGAACAAGAACAGACTCAGAGATAAGGAGCCATGGGTCAGACTGTTGGACCTCAAAGGGAGGGAGGGGATAAAAGGGAAAGATCAACCAAAGGACTTATGTGCACACATATGAGCCTAACCAGTGGTCAGGGACAATAGGGGGGGGGGGGGTATGAGTGGGGAGGGGTGGGGATTGGAATGAGGGATTGAGGACAAATATGTGATACCTTAATCAATAAAGAAATTAAAAAAAAAAAAAAAAAAAAAAAGCAGAAACCGGTTTGGCTCAGTGGGTAGAGTGTTGGCCTGCGGACTGAAAGGTCCCAGGTTCCATTCAGTCAAGGGCATTGTTTGCAGGCACATCCCTGGTGAGGGGTGTGCAGGAGGCAGCTGGTCGATGTTTCTCTCTCATTGATCTTTCTAGCTCCCTTCCTCTCTGTAAAATATCAATATATTTTTAAATAAACAAATAAATAAATAAATAAATAAATAAATAAATAAATAAATAAAGGCAATGTTTATTAAAATACATTTCACTTTCAAAACTAAATTATCAATTGTTAAAATGTGTCTATATATTTTTGGGGGCACCCTGTGTATATCATGAGGCTATTTGTCATACATTTGTGCTTGGGGCTATTCCAAGAAAAAGCCTCCAGTTACTCAGAACTTGCTTCTTTGAGGAGGATTTATAATAAACCAAGATTTTTTTTATAAGACACAAATATAACGGTATCTTACACTTTGATAAGGTAAAATTTAAAGTGCTTTTGAAAACAAATTGGAACCCAAAAATTTGTTCTATACATATTTCAATTATAAGCATTTTACTTTCTACTTAAAAAGTATGAAAACCAAATTATCTTTAAATGTAAAAGACTACACTCTACTGTACAGTACAAACACAAACATCAAATTCAAGTAATTTGCTGGCATCAAAAAACAAAATTAGTGCGGACATAAGTTCTTACTACATAGTTCGTTTTACAGTGAGTCACCATGAGTAATTACACTTTAAAACTCATTTTTCCTAGACTGCTAGTCTTTCTAAATGTTCTTTTTAATTCTAGATCTGTGCATCGTAATTACTATCTTAAAAGAGAATATCGGAAGAGGTATCATACTTGATTCCTTTGTTATTTTTCACAGTGACACATAGGTACCTCTGTTAGTCACAGTTTAAAAAGAAAAGTTTTCCTGAGTGCCATCTGTTTGGAGTTTATACTGCACTTCCTCATTGACACAATGGCAGTAAAATTCTTTCAGAGCCTATTTAACCAGGATGTATATGGTACTTATTAGGTCTTTAAATTCCTTTCCCATTAGCAGAAAAGATTTCAGCACATGATTTAAACATCCTTCCTGTATTGCAAAAGTTTAGTCAGCTGATTTTGGAGGAACATTCCAGTAGGGAGACAGGAATTGACTCACTACACACTATTACAAAAGCCTCCTAACGGGACTCTGCGAGCCGCAGGCTCTCCCTCCTATATTCTGTCATCCATTTTGTGGTCAGTTCTCTTAATCCCAAATGTTACCCAAAGAACTTCACCTGCAGGGTGAAGTCCAAACCCCTTAGCATGGCATAGAAGACTCTTCCCAACTGGTCTAAACCTGCCTTACTTCTTCCTTGCCTCTCTTTCATATATAGGCATCTGCCTGGAGACATTCTCATCATTGCCATCAAGTCATGTTCTTTCACCCCTCCGTACTCCTGCAAAATTTCTTCTGCTTAGAATATATTCCTGTCACTTTACGTGAACATTCGCCAACACAGATCAGTTCAAATATCACTTCCACAGTAAACCTTCCCCTACGTTCCTCACCTAGATTTAACACATTTAGTCATCCTTTGCCCCTCTACAAAAATTGAGCATGATGTTTATAGGAATTTGATAAAACACTGACTGAATTTTGAAAGCATACACATGCTTACTTAAGTGTGGGACTGGCCATAAACTGTTAAAAGCCACAGTTAAAAACCATAAGGAAAGTCCATGCAACTATATATAGGATGGGCAAAAGCATATTTACAGTTGTCCTTATGGAAAATAATAACTAATAAATAATATATGAACAAACTGTTTCATGTACTCACAATACATATATTAACATTAAAAATATAGTCTTACACTTTGTATGCATATATTAATAATCCATGAACACACATAATAGGTTGCTGAAGACCTGAGGTGGGGGTGTGGAGGGGCAGGGGAGGGCTGGAGGTCAATGGAGGAAACAGGGGGCTATATATGTAATACTTATAATAATAAATAATTACTATATATAGTAATTATTTATTATAATAATAAATAATTACTATATATATAGTAATTATTTATTATTATAAGTATTACATATATAGCAGGCTCAGGGCTCTTGGAGGGAATGGAGTGATTAAGAAACAAGAGAAAAAACTAAAAAATCATTCACATGGACGAGAATGTAGGGATTACAGGGAGTGGGGAGGGGGAGGAGAGTATAGGGGGAATAAATGGTGATGAAAGGAGATTTGGTGGAGTGAACACACAATACAGTGAACAGATGATGTACTGTGGAATTGTGAACCTGAAACCTGTATAATTTTGTTAACCAATGTCACCCCAAAAATTGAGTAAAAAGGGAAAAAGTAAATAAATGAAACAAAGAATTTGTTTTTATGTAAAATATATAGATAGACAGATGATAGATGATAGATAGATAGATAGATAGATATAGATAGATAGTCTTGGTTATATTTGCAATCACATTGAATCATAGATTACTAAAACTCCAGATGTATAAACTACTTCACCTTAAATATTGATAAATGTTAACTATCTAGAATGTTACGGCAACAATAACCTTAACCAGAAAAAAACTTAGTAGCTTCCATTTCAATAAAGCTTCACTATTTAGAGCTTCAAAATCCCTGCAATGGGACAAATTTATTTAATTGAAAAAGAACCAAAGATAAGGAAAAAATGTAATTAGTTTCCTGAAGGTCAGCCAGCCTGCATTGAAATTTTCTGTCATCACCTTTGAACAATTCTCAAGGCAATCATTTAGTGAAAAAGAATAAAAAGGAAAAAAAAAACAACAACAACAAAAAACACACTCTATAACTGATAAGGAAAATATAGACACGCAAACAACAATTTAACACAACAGCCAAAATAAAGTTGTGTCCAGAAAGAAGCTCGAGTGTTGGCGATGTGCTGCCACTATGTTCGGGCGCCTCCAATATCAACTAACACCTTCCATATCCAAGGGAAGCTTTACAATTAATTCAAAAGCAAGTTTGCATAAATCCTGTAACTGCAGTGGAGCAGGGGTTATTTGTCAGGATTTAAGACATTACAAACCCAGGGGAAAAAACGCAGATAGAAGACTGGCCAAGAAATGTAGCACTTGGTTTCCAAAAAGAACTAGTCTTCCTACAACAAAATGGCCCAAGAAAAATGAGCGCGCTCACACACACAACACACGACACACACACACACACACACACACCACTTTTATTCCATCACTACATTTAAATTCCGCTCTGTGTACCTACTGGTGACTCCGCTGATCAAACATGAACATCCAATTTTCAAATTCTGATACCCTGGACCAAAAGTTCCATCATCTCCCGGTCTCTTTCCAAGTGACATTAACTTGCCAAGCGAGTCCCAGCTCCATTTCTCAGAACAGTTTAAACATGAACACACCCTCGGCGCGCACCCAGCAGACTCCCCGAGATCAGAGCGGGATCCAGAGCGAGTCCGGAGAGAAGCTGGGGGACCCAGCTGGGCGCGGCATGGGGGGGCACGGCTCTGTCAAACAGGAGACAGTCAGAAGGATCCGGCCGGAGACCCGTGCCCAGAAGGGTTTTGGGGGGCGCCAGACCCCCCCCCCAACCCTCGAATCTGAGCACTGTCCACACACACACACAGAACTGGAGCGACTCCGCCTCCCGAACCCTGAGTCCAGGCGCCAGGCCAGGCCCCTCACCACGGCCGGACACCTCGGGGTGGACTCCGAGCGTCCCCGCCCTAGGAAACGGCAGCCCCATTAGGTCTCCGGGGGCGGACACCCACCTGGCCGAGCCCCGCCGAGGACCGGGCCCACCAAGCCCAACAACAGCAGCCACTGGAAGCGGAGTGTGCCAAAGGGCGAGCCCGCGCGGGACCCCATGTCGGCCGATTCCGCCGCGGGTTCCACTCAGCGTCCGGTCGCTTCGGCCGCCGCCGCCGCCCGCTCCATCACTCCCCAACCCCGCCTGGGGCCCCGGAGCTGGCAGGGGCGCGCGCGCCCGGGGGACGAACACGCGCGCTCGCCACTGACGCAACTCAGCCCTTGTCCGAGCTCGCTCCCGACATCGCGCTCGCTACCGCTGACGTAGGGAAAGCCCGAGTCCCCGGCGAGAAAATGGAATTGCTATCTGGACGCTCCGAGCCGCGCTCGTCCGCCCCGCCCACCCGCCGTCCGCGCCCGTTTCTACTCCTAGGCCCGCCCCACGGCGGGGGTCGGAGGAAGCCGATTGGAGGAAGCGCTTAGCGTAAAAGGAGGCGGAGCGTGAGACCCCGGAGGTGAACTGAGGTCCCGCCCCCTGCGCAGCCTCTTCTGATTGGTGGTCGGGGTTTGGGGCGGGGCGCCGGGCTGCGCGCCCATTGGCTGCTTGGCAGGGAAGAGCGGGGCTACGGAAGAGGCCTGACCTGCCGGAGGCTCGGATCCCGCTGCCTGCCTGCCTGCCTGCCGGGGCTGGTGGTGGCGGCGGCGGCGGAGGCCCCGGTATCCGCCCCTGGGCCAGAGAAGATGGTGCTGGGTGGTTGCCCGGTGAGTTACTTACTTCTCTGCGGTCAGGCGGCCTTGCTGCTGGGGAACCTGCTCCTGCTGCATTGTGTCTCCCGGAGCCACTCGTTCAACGCTACCGCGGAGCCCGAGCTCACGTCCGCCGGCGCCACCCACCCGGAGGTCCCCGCCGGCGCTCCGAGCTGGGAATATGGCGACGCCACCTCTCCAGTCATCCTTTGCTCTTTCCTGTAAGCTACCCAAGTCGTGGAGACAGGTGGAGATGGCGATATAGGGCAGGGAATAGATGGGGTGTTGTGTTGGGGGAGGAGGAGGAGAGGAAGGATGCTTTGGGGGGTTTCCCCGGACCTTCTCCACCTGATGACCCGTTAGTCAACACTCGGGAGGTAAATATCATGACAGGTTGCTCAGGCCTCTCACCTTGGGTGTGGGTGACAACTCCTTTGGGATCCCGAAAGAGGAGATCTAGGGAGGAGTGACATCATGCAGCCTCCGGAAGAAGAAGAGGGTAGGAGGTTGTGCCTCCTCTCTCCTCCGTTTTACCCTAAAGAGATTCCCTCGTAGGGCCTGGTATTATGTGAGCCGCAACTAAAGTAAATCACTTGTCCCTGCCTACGAGGTACTTGACTGTGAGAGAGGAAAGAAATATCCAAGTCATTTTTTTTTTTTTTTACATCTCTTTTTAGTCAAATAAGAAAAGGCGTTTGGGAACTGCAAAGGAGAACTGGGAATCCTTTGGCCTTAATCTTGCCCCCAGAGCCTTGGGGATGTTTGCCTAGAGAAAAGTTGAAGCTATGGCAGAAGTAGAATCCGGGCAGAAACAGGGCCAGAAACAACCCCTGCCCCCCAGTAAAAAGAGGTCATTTGGATGGATGGATGGCTGTCTTATTTGACCTGCGGCGCTTCAGTCTAATTGACACCATCTCTTCTTGTCTTGGGGAAGAGTCAGAGTGACATTAAACCCCAGAAAACTTGAAAGAAATGTCTCTTGCCTGTTTTGATTTTATATATATATATATATATATATATATATATATATATATATATAGCCAATTGCAAAGGCCATGTGATGATCATGATTTTACTGGTGATTTGTAGACCTGATGAATTCATAGACTGTGACGACCCAGTGGATCACGTTGGAAATACAACTGCATCCCAGGAACTTGGTTATGGTTGTCTCAAGGTGGGTTTCTGTTTTGTTTTATAAGCAAATTCATCCAGAAATGTACATGATCTTACCGCGGGCATTCGCCTTGGCTGGGCTGAGGCCTGCGGGCTGGGGGCAGCTCCTGGGTTGAGCGTCTGCCCCCTCGTGGTCAGTGTATATCATAGCAACTAGTCTTTCCAGTGGTCGTTTTACTGTTCGGTTGATTTCCATATTAGGCTTTTCTAATATAGGATGTCTTTGTAGGAGATTATAGGATTCAAGAAGAAGCCTTTATTAACAATGTTCTCTTTGAATAGAGAGAAACTATTTGGTTCCATTAATAATATCTCTAAAGCTAGGTGCACATTGCCTAGTCAGGTTCCCAAAAACTAGTGAAATTTATGTGTGTTCTCCCCCTTATGGATGCACAATTATATTTGCTGTATAATACAAGTCAAAACACAACCAAGTGTAACAAAATTATGGGGAAATATATTTTTTTACTTTTTTAAAAAAAATTCCTTTTTGTTTGAAGTATTACATACTTTTTGACCTCTCCTTTTTGACTTCTCCCTGGCCACTTCCACCCTCCAGCAGATGCCCTCACCCCCTCTACGGAAAAATATTATTTGTACTAAATCAGACACAGAGGAATAAACCTGAAAGTACTAAAACTAAAAGACAGCTTATATTGTAATAAAGCATAAATAAATATTCTCAATACAGTGAGATTTTGTCCTTTTGATACTTATGGATAAAAGTTTGAGTTAGCATTGTTTAGAGATCAGGTAATTTTATATATTTTAATTGAAAACTGAATTGATCTTGTCAAGGCACTCAAACTATAGGACTGGCAGTGCCCAGGTACCTGACTTCCTGGGAGAGTACACGGAATAAGCATTGTTTTTCCTACCAGCTTCTCTTTGAGAAATACTCCAACAAAAATAGTAGTGATGCACTTAATAAGGTGCCAGTAGAGAATGTACAGCTGTGCTTACTTTTCTAGAATTCAGTTACATGAAGGGTCAGAGGTCCTGTTCTGAAATTTTTTGCTGGAATTTAAACATACTATAGATATACTACAAATATCTGTTCATCACACAATCATGACCTAAATAAAGTCAGTCGATATTCTGAATTCTTTCCTATTTGTAATATATATAAAACAGACCTCTAATACAAGGTCAGCTTTTTAAATACCCATTCCCAAATGCTCAATAGTATGCTCTTTTTTCTGTAAATAAAGGTTAATTAAAGTATTGTGTCCATCTGTTCTAAATGGCATTTAATGAAACTGATTATACATTTTTAAAATATATTTTTATTGATTTTTCACAGAGAGGAAGGGAGAGGGATAGAAAGTTAGAAACATCGATGAGAGAGATACATCGACCAGCTACCTCCTGCACACTCCCCATCGGGGATGTGCCCACAACCAACGTACATGTCCTTGACTGGAATCGAACCTGGGACCTTTCAGTTCGCAGACTGACGCTCTATCTACTGAGCCAAACCAGTCTCGGCTGATTATACATGTTTAAACTTTATTATTAAAGAAGCCAGTCAAAAAAAAAAAGTGGTGGGGGGGAGAGAAACGAGGTTATTTAAAGCAGTGTACATTTAGGATGGACTAATTTACAGCCACTTGAAGTATGTCACTAAATCCCTTGTTCTTTGACATAGCTTTACCCTAACTTCATTAGGATAGTTATCATCCTGAGTCAGCATTATTGATATAAAGATGTATTTTGTGTGACTTGCTTTGGTGAGTTTCTTTGGTTGTTACTCCGCAGTTTGGTGGTCAGGCCTACAGTGACGTGGAACACACGAAAGTCCAGTGCAGGGCCCTGGACGGAATTGAGTGTGCCAGTCCTAGGACCTTCCTACGAGAGAATAAACCTTGTATAAAGTGAGTGTTCCTTTGAATGGGGTAATTGATAGTTGGGTGGAGGTAGAGTTCTTTTCCTTGTCATCTCTTGATGGGACTGTTTCTTTTACCTTAGTGTTAAATGGGCAACAGGATTACTATTGTGCATAATCAACAGATAGGGCAAGAGAGCTATAATAGAGAGGACTCTGGCCTTCAGACCAGAGACCATGAGTTCTAAATGTCTCTTTCACCAACTACCTACGTACGTTTGGGTACCCAGAGTCTCTATCCCCTCACCGCAAAATGAAGGAGTTGGACAGAGTATCTTGTTCCAGAATGCCCATGATAGGCAGAAGTCCTGTGAAAATAGCCTTAGTATTTCAGCAATAAAGGTTTTATCATTAAAGGTATGGGCTTCTCTCACTGAAAATCAGTTTATCTTAAAAAGAATGAGTCTTGTTTCTGTAAGTTCTGCTTGAAGGCACAGAATTTACTTCTACCATTTTCTAGTGAAGAGTCTATGACTATTTCTTTTTTTGTCAGATCAGTAGATTAGTATGCTACAGAATTTTAGTAAATAGTCTATGTGTGCCATGAGATGAAAAAAGGTTGAAAATTGCTGGTCTAGACCTACAAGAGATCTTATGGAGAGGGTCGGTGGGGTAAGGGAGTAAGAGGCCACAGAGGGACTGGCTGCATCATCATTTCACTTTACATTACGTGTTTTAATTTTCATGTGGTAAACATCTTCCTTTTAATTCCTTTCGTCTAGGTATACTGGACACTACTTCATAACCACTTTACTCTACTCGTTCTTCCTGGGATGTTTTGGAGTGGATCGTTTCTGTCTGGGACACACTGGCACAGCAGTAGGGAAACTATTGACACTTGGAGGACTTGGGATTTGGTGGTTTGTTGACCTTATATTACTTATTACTGGAGGGCTGATGCCAAGTGATGGCAGCAATTGGTGCACTGTTTATTAAAAAGAACTGCTTCTATGGCCCAAAGAGGCAAGTCTTCGGAATTCATCTCTACAGGCTCAAAACTCTTCCTTGATATCAGACCTGACCATTACTTGCCCTCTTTGGAGGAAAGGGATTGGTTAGGAAGATTTCCCTGGACTGTGGATTTGCAATCCAAATGTTACCTTGCTGACTAGAAATGGCAAGCAAACACTGTTGAGGGAATTAAGTTTATACCTTTTCTCATTACAAAATATAAAAGCTAGCAACTAATTAATAAGCTGCAGAAGGGTTTCTATACTCTTTACTTCTGTACTTGGCCATATCTTCAATCCTTTGGAGCAAGTGGACCCAACAAGATGAGCGAAGTGAGTATTGTTAGCTTTGTGCCTTTTGTGACCCCAAGTCTCATGCAAGGAGAACTGAAGCAGAACCAATGGAAAGATTCAGGAAAAGTAGAAATACACACTGAAATTCTGAATTTAAACTGCAGACTAAATTTTGCCAACCTGGAACACTGTTTGGATATTCTCAGTAGGTAGAGTGAAACTCAAAATTACATTTGTTTCACTAAAAACTAGGTGATTGAAGTAAACTACCCTATTAATAAACCCTATTGTTTCACAATTATTATGCCTAAGGGGCAATATATACATGGGGGAGGGGGGGAATATATATATATGAAATTTTTTTCATTCCAATTATGGTTTGAAAGCCAACGGTATAAGATCTGTCTGGGTTAGTCTATCCTCTTAGCAGAATTTTCCTGGCTAAAAAGTAGTATTTAGCCTAACTAATGTGGCTCAATGTGAGCATCCACCCATGAACCAGGAGGTCACGGTTTGATGCCTGGTCAGGGTGCATGCCCAGGTTGCGGGCTTGATCCCCATTAAGGGGCGTACGGAAGATAGCTGATTGATGATTCTTTATCATCATTGATGTTTCTATCTCTCCCTCTCCCTTCCTCTCTGGAATCAATAAAACATAAAATAAAAAGTATTATTTGCCAATTTAGAGAGCCCATGTTGTAGGCTGGTAAATAAGATTTCAAATGACTATAAAACTGGTCTTCACAATTACATAAGATAAGGTGAGGAGCATTGTGCTCTTGGAAAGAAAAACAGACTCTTAAAGGATATTATTACTGAGAACTGGGTGATTTATAGGGAGAAAGAGAAACAGTGCAATAAGCTTGTACCAGAAATTTTCACTGTGGGTTTCAGGAGTCAGCCACAGAGAAAGAGCCACAACTAAGCTTTCACATTCCCAGATCACTGGGAATAAAGGAAACGCTTTGAATAATAAGTGGTTTTTAAAAACTTAGTTCCCGTCCTTTTCAATCTAAGTTGCAAAAAACTGTTAAGTACAAAGTAAAAGGGGAATTTTATGGACAAGTCAAATTAAGATCCTGTATTTTGGAATAAGTGATAAGTCCTAGAAACAATCATGATAGAACTGCTCAAAGTTTAGTTTCATAATAATTGACTTAAAGACCAAGAATCACAGTTAACTGGCTGGTGTGGCTCAGTGGTTGAGCGTCAACCTATGAACCAGAAGGTTATGGTTCGATTCCCCATCAGGGCTTAATAAAAGAACATATTTTTAAAAGAAAAATAAGAATCACAATTAAAATAACTCTGGATATGCTCTATCATTATGAAATGGCTTTCCTAAAAATTTCAGCTTTATTACTCCTGATTAATATGATCACCAACTGTTCTGATATTATTAAATGATGGCAATTATATAAATATTAAAACAGATTATGCTGTCTTAAAAGTTCTGGACTATACTGACCCCAACCTTGTTTACAACAGTAATAATTGGTAGATTTTTATTCATAATCTCTGTACTCTAAGGCAGTGTGTTTTAAATTGTGGTCATGAAGAAACTAGACCCAGAAAAATAAACAAACACATAATTTTACATAGGTTTTAAGGGGGTCTATTGATGTAACATTTTTTTTTTCTAAACTCACTTCTAAGAGAAGCCCAGAAAACAAACTGAATTTTAAATCTTACCCAAAATAATATACTACCTTAGGCCACAAATACTGCCTCATCTCACATCTTTTTTTTTTTTTTAATTTTATTAAAATTAAGTCACAAACCCCATCGAAAGCTATTTTATTTTTTTTTTTAAATACATTTGGCAGTTTTCAGACTCAAATCATCAGTGTTTGCCAAGAGGAAGAGCTTGGGTAAAAAGTAAAGTTTTTAATTTATTGAAGTATCTATTTTATAGAAGTCCTCTTGTAGTCAGAAAAGCTATTGGAGACCAAAGTTGTTTCCACTGCTAGAGTGATAACTTGAGAGTCTTTAATAATCTTCGGTGACAATCCATAATTGCCAGTTTCATTTTGACTTATAACTGATATCCATCCTCTGTACCCATAAAGGCTGGCCAAATGTGATGCAACCCGAGAAACTGATTTTGTAAGGGAATAGTATTAAAAATTTGATTTTCTTTGTACTCTGGATTCAGGTTGTTTCTTAATATTTGGAAAATTGTGTGTGTGTGTGTGTGTGTGTGTGTGTGTGTGTTCCTCTGCTTCCTGACTTTAGCACTGACCAGGGATCCTCCCTGGGACTGGAGAGGGTTGACTGGATGCTGATCCTAAGTGTGAGAGAGCCAGGTGACACTCCCCCTGCTTCCCAAGAGCTGATAAAAAAAAATTTTTAAAAAGTGCCCTCCGCTGCCTGGGCTCCCTCTGGTCCCAGCTGGACAAGAAGAGCAAGGAACACCTGGCTCCCAGCATCCGGGCCCCTGTCACTCAGTTCAATAGTGCGGCCACTTACTTCAAGGACCAGAGTGTGGCGGCCGGGGACAGAGCCAGAGTGGTGGAGAGTGTATCAAGGGAGGGCTCAGATGCTCTGCAGAGTTCTGGAAATTCTTTGTTTTTTTGGTTCCTTCCTTCCCCAAACCAGCCAGCCCATCCCCACAAAGCCAGGCTGCTGTGGTTCCTGGGAGGGCACTCACCTGCCCAGGGACCAGGCGCCACAGTGGAAACCCGGGTCCAGGCAGCCAACGGGGCTGCCCAGACTTTGCTGAAATGGCCAAACCCAGGAGGCAGGTCTGGGTGCACAGCAGGACCCCTGCCGTGTGTGTGTGTGTGTGTGTGTGTGTGTGTGTGTGTGTGTGTGTGTGTGTGTGAGAGAGAGAGAGTTTGTAGCTATAGGGAAGTTTAACAATACTAAAGGGCCCTTCTGTCAAGGTTAAATTAGAAACTGCCTTTTTCCCAGTTGTTCCTATCTTTAAACAAAATTTTCTCAGCTTCCCAGACTTCCTGGCACCACATCCTTTTTAGTAAAGCTTCTTAGCAGTACACCCCCAATCTAATAGTTCCCAAGTGTGTGTGTATGTGTGTGTGTTTGTGCGCATGTGCATATGCATACTTAAGCCTTCATTTTCCTTTATAAGAAAGATCCTAAAAACCCTAGCCATCTTTGGCACATCTTCAATACAAACCAAGTAATATAACTTGGGTTTTGTTAAATAATTCATCTTTAAGTCAAGGTACTTAATCAATTATTTCAGGTGTGATTGTCAGGATCAAAGTTTGACTTCCTCGACGAACCATCATGGAGAGGGAATCATTGTCCTTGACCGCTTCAATAACTTCGTTTGTGGTAGTAACAGGTTGCCCATTTATGCTGACAATTACATCGTGGTCTCTCAACCCAGAGCTTGGAGGGGAGAAAAAAAGGAGCATGAAACTCTAAGAGTCTTATTTATCCCAGCTAGAATGTAATGTCTATCTCTTTTAAGGTACTACTATTTTGCTGGTAGTAAACATACCAACCGGGAAACCAAAAATAGCCTCAATCGTTCCAAATATGAGAACTGTTCTAAGATATGCTGTGAGATCATCTTGAAGACAACAGTCCTATTTACCTTCATAAAATTAATATTCTACCACAATCAATCATGTGTAAGAGGTTTACTCCTTTCATAGAGTGGATTTGGTTTGGAATAGGTGTTTAGCTTTTCATTTCTATTAATCTCTGGCCTCTGTGAACCTGAATCATACTCCCATTCTCATGAGCAAACATGAAAAGCCCAATCAATATGTTTTTCCCCAGACAGCTACACTCTGATCAATTTGATTTTGACAGCCCACTTGCCCCATTTCAACCATAGTTTATTGAACGAGAGAGTATGTAGAGCTATATTGTTAAAAGCTCTGTTCCCAGTAAGTCAAAAACTAATCACCCTTCCAAGTCTAAATATTTAAGGCTCTGATTTTAGACTCCTTTCCCCAAAGTTGTGATTGTATGCAGTCTCCTACATAGTTGTTTCACATAGAATGTATATCTTAGAAACAGAAACCACCTCCATACATACATAACAGAAACCACCATACATACATAGTTATGCTGCTGTCTTAAAGCCAAAAAGAAGCTGGAAGAGGGACATAAAATTAAATGACTTCAGGAGAAGCAGGAGTAATAGGATTACCAAGATATATGGAATTTATGAAAAAATAGGAGAAATTTAAAGCAAGAGGATGTGAAGAGAAGTTTGAAGGTAGATAAAGCTACAAGCATGGAGAGCCTTTAGGACAAAGTTAACTTTAGAAAGTGACTGATACAGTGCACAAAGGAAGAACTCAACTCATGGTAGTTCTGTGAGTGGGAAAAAGAAACCTGCAAATTCTGGCTGAGCCCAAATATGAGGCTCAGGCAGGATAAATGTCCCACTGCTTGTAAAAGGCTAGGATTTGATCCCTGGTCTTCAGACTTGAAAACCCATCTTCTTCCACTCAATTAGTCTGCTTCTCAGAAGCAAGAAGAACTGCCACAAAGGCAGGATCATAGAGAGGTTCACTTAGTTTCCATATTCCTGCTGTCTGACTTACTGTGTAACTCTCACCTTGACCGCTCTCTGCCACAGCTGTGTCCTCTGTAAAATAATACCTATATCATAAGACTACTGCGGGATCAAACCAAGCACGTAAAAAATATTAAATGATGCCTGATATGTATTAAGTGGTTAATAAATGCCAGCTGTTATTGTCATAATTATTATTATTATTATTATTATTATTAGATATAAGTGGATGGAGTCAACAGATTTCTGGTTCAGCAGAGACATCAAGCAAGCAGTAATTCCCACATTTTAACGTGCATCCAAATCAAGGAGATCTTGTTTAAAATGACAGTTTCTGATTCAGTGGTAGGCCTGTCATTCTGCATTTCCCAAAAGCTCCAGCTGATACTAATGCAGCTGGACTACAGACCACATCCTGAGTAGCAAGGCCTTGGAGAGCTGAAAGAAATAGCTTTGGCCATGAACCAGAAGTTAAAAATAAGGATTGGGATGCATTTGGGGGGAGAGGAGGAGGGCGGGGGAGTAGGAACTAAGAAAGTCTAGGAAAGCTTGTGACGAGCCAAGTTTAGTAACATGAGACCTAACACTTAGCTATTCAGAACAGGTAGTACCCGAGGGTGTCTCGCCCCCTTCTTAAAGCATTGCCATGATCTAAACAGATTACTGAGCTCTTGAAAAACAAATACAGTGAGAGACAGATACTGAAGAAGCTTAAGAGGGAGACCCAGGAGAGTAATTGTTGGACAAGCCACCTCTGCTCTCGGTAGTTAGTGTGAATGTTCGAAACTACAGTCTTTGGAAAGCTACTCTCACCTTTGCTTGATTTATTTCCTTGTTTGCTTATTTGTTTATTTACTTTGTGTTGCTGTCTGATGCAGTCATCCAGAGTTCAAAGACAAAAGTATTTTAAATTACCTAAAGCATGTTCCTAAACTTTTGATCCTTTGGATTCTTCCGATTCTTAATAACTAAGGTATTGAAAGGGCAGACTTGGGGATACTAGCAAAATTAATTTAGACTTAGGCTGTTAACTCATATCATGTATTCTTGGCTTAAAGAGAACCATCACCTCCCAAAAAAAGGCCCTTAGAGTACACAAGTCTAAATCAGCATGACTATCTACATGCCATATGTAGTTTTAAATTTTCTGGTAACCACATTTTTTTTCCCCAAAAAATTTTAAACAGATGAAAGCAATTTAGTAATGTATCTTATTTAACTCAATATATCTAAACTATAATTTTAACATGTAATGTTTTAATAATTAGTATGTATTTTACATACCTGTCTGTTTTAAGTCTTTGAAATCCACTAGAAACAATGCACAACCATAATATCTTATAATTGCAATGCTTACAGTTCAAGGCAGTTTTTCCCCTCTCTTCCCCCCCACAAAAAAAAAAAAAAAAAAGTGAGTTTCATGGGAAAACATTTTGCATGCTTCTAGTTTCTTTATTTAAATAAATTAAAATTATATAAAATTTAAAATTCAGGCTCTAACCGGTTTGAATCAGCGGATAGAGCGTCAGCCTGTAGACTGAAAGATCCCAGTTTTGATTCCAGTCAAGGTCATGTACCTTGGTTGTGGGCACATCCCCAGTAGGAGGTTTGCGGGAGATAGTTGATTGATGTTTCTCTCTCATCGATGTTTCTAACTCTCTATCCCTCTCCCTTCCTCTCTGTAAAAAAAAAAAAAAAAAAAAAAATTAAATATCTATCTATCTATCTATATATATATATATATATTTTTTTTTTAATTCAGTCCATAGGTCATAGCAGCCACATTTCAAGTGTTCAATAGTCACATGTCACATGTAGGCAGGAGCCACTGTGCCAAATGTAAATCCTACACATTTGCCACAGCACACATCTAGCGAGAACGAAGGAGGGTGGGCAAAGGCCTGGGTTTCTCTTACCTTTCAGCAGCTGTTCCTTGAATCACCTCATATACAAAAACCCCAGAACTCACAACAGGGAAATCTGGATCTTGCCTTTTCATTTCTCGAAGAAGGCTAAAGTGAGAAGATACTTCCCATAAGTTTAAGAAGCAAAGCAAATTGATCTCTGGAACCCCAAGCAATGCCTTCGAATGAATCTCAATGAATATTCTACCTGCTCTCTCAAGGCTCAGAGTGGCCAGAGAGAATTCCATTAAGCAGGTTGCTGGAAGCTAATTCCAGCAGGTCATAAATGCAAGAAGTTCATCAAATGGTTGGTGGACCTTGAGCCTTCAGCAAGGGCTGGAAAAATACAGATTATTGCCTGTTGGAAATGGCTAAGGGCATTTCCCCAGACCTGAAAAGGATGCACAAATGATTGCTCGCTGCCAGACAGCTGAGGGCATTACAATCTACATGTTATTGCCTCCTGCTGGCCAAACACCTGAACAGCCGTCCTCCAATCTGACAACAGATTCTGTATACTAAACCTTGCCTTTGATGTATATATCTACCTTGCTTTAGGACAATTTGTGTTAATAAAAGCAAGGGGTCCACAGAGACAGGAGGACTTGGTTTATTTAGCTAAGCCTCATCTGGCTCCCCAAAATTATGTTTCATCTCTGGACTCTTGATTAATTTACCACAGCCCTTCTCTAAATTCCTGAACCCTTCTAGATGCTGAACAAGACCCCCTGCAGCAGGTCATAATTATTCTTCCCCAGGTGTGCTCTGATTCCCTATGACAAAGCCTAGAACCATTGGACATTATAAAATATAGGCATGTAAAAGAAACTGAAAGGTACAGTGAGTGCTGGTGCACAAGAGTACCTAGCTGTAATCCCAACACTTTAGTTTCCCTGGCAAGAAGGTCCAGCTATGGCTTTACTTCCGAAAATGACCCAGACATATTCAAACCCACACTTACTTCATACTGAGGGGCAGCATTCGCAGACCCAGATATTTCCTTTGTGAAAGAGCCTTTTTTCCTGGAAAGGAAAATTATAATGTGTTACCAACAACAAAACTTCCCTCCTTTCAGTGATCTTAAAAGATACCAGAGTCACAGAATATCCTTCCATCATAGGTGTCCTCTCAGGCGGTGCCTCAGAGAACCTTCATCATTAGTACAGACATCCTCCTACCCAACTCCCCACCTGTGGAAAGGTTTCCTTTCTACAACAATTCAATCCAAATGTTTCTGGGTACAACCCATGCCCAATTTTATGCCTAGTCCTTATATTACTGCCCAAACCACCATTAGAGAAACTGGGTACCAGTGATAGTATTCAACAGAACTATATCCACAGTAGATTGAGTGCTCCCAAAAAACACAGAAGGGGAAGAAAAAGTCCTCACTCCCCTTACCTTTCAACTGGCGCTCATGGAATTCCGCCAAGAACTCTCGAATTCGATCAGAGGGGATTGCAAAGGAGATTCCTGCGGTCACCTTCAGTGTATTTATGCCAATCACATCACCATCCTGACAGGGGAGGAGATATCATTCAGTCACCAAGTTGTGCAAACTGAACAAATAGGAGGGAGTGAAGTGAGTCACTTGGGGCCAGGGTACAGAGGGGCTGGCAGAAAAGTGGGCTTTTTCAGTCAATGTCAATGGATGCTGCCTTAGAGGGTGATGTATAGAAGGATAGTAGAGGGATCTACATGTGCAAGTTGCTGTGGAGGAATTTTTTTTTTTTAATCTTGAGCTCATTTTTCCTTCGCCAAATTATTCTGATTTTATTTGTATTTTTAACATGTCTTTATTGATTTTAGAGAGAAGTGAGGGGGAGGTAGAGAGATAGAAACATCTGTCAGTTGCCTCCTGCATGCTCCCTATTGGGGATCGAGTCCACAACCTGAGCATGTGCCCTGACTAGGAATCTAACCAGTGACCTCTTGGTTCGTGGGTTGATGATCAACCACTGAGCCACACCAGCTGGGCCAAATTACATTGATTTTAAGGGTGAACCACAGTTTGTTATTTGACCCAAAGAAGAGAGCAAGGAGTATTTGCCTTTTCATTCCTTAAATGACACCAAAAATAAACATGGCAAAGGCAAAAAGCTGTTAGATTTTCAGCAACACTTCAGTGAAATGATGCATAAGAATTAGTAAATTGACTTTAGGAACAAATCTCTACTAAACCAAGACTATGAAGTGAGAAATACTTTCTGCTCCGTGCACTTCATCATCCTCTAGCCTTTGTTAGGTAATGGAAAGGATAAAACATCATATTACTTAATTTAATACTATTAAGCGACAGATTATAATTCAGTAGTGTGGTCTAAAATTCTCATTGTCCCCTGGAGAAAGAAGGCACACAAAATAACATGCAGTGTTCTGAGTAAAGAATGCTCAATAACGTCACACAGTCACACACAATTCATCCTCCTACAAGTCAGTGTAATACGTAAAGATGAACCAAAATGAATCCGCTCGAAAACTCAGAAAGAGCGATCACAGGCTGTGCCAATGAGCACTGCACTCTGTTTTCACATGGATTTGAGCGACTAAAAAAGCTGGCATTTTCACCAGAGAGACTGAAAGATTTTAATAATTAACTACATGACAGAACAATAGATTCATGGTGTGGCTTTTCTGTCATCTATAAGTGGGACAAGACTAAAAACCTGGACAGGCCACATCCTGAAATTAGCATTTTGGGATGAGAGACAGTTCTTCATATGCGGCAGCAGGGAGTCTTCAAGGATATACACTACATAGTACAATTGGTCATTTGACATAAATCTGGGTTTAGTACCCAGAACTTTGGTTAACTGTCCAATGAAAACAGAAAGTGTGTTGAAGAGATATAATGTGTAAGCAAATCCTGGCTCTCCTGGTTGGGTGAGATCACACACCAAGATGACAAATCCATTGTAGATCTTAAGTTGTCCTAACCCAGTGGTCGGCAAACTGCGGCTCTGTTGACTAATGAGTTTGCCGACCACTGTCCTAACCATTTGCTTAAGATGCAGTCATAAAAAAGCATTGCACCACAGATCTCTACGCTAGAATTAGTCTGCACCATGCAATCTGTCAAGTCTTTACAAGGAAGAGCATGAAGCAGCAAGGAAAATGGACACTTACCAAGTTCACCAGAGGCCCCCCAGAATTTCCGTGCTGGAGACAGAATTTGAGAAAAATCATTAGTGATTTTCTCCTTGTCAACTATTCATAGTTCCTAAACAGATTTACCAAAAACAGCCCAGTCTAGTGAGCTCCTATTCTCCCAAGGCAAGCTAAGTTGTCCCTCCCCCTCCCCAACATCATAATACTGGAGTCACTGCAGATAAAGAACAACAGCAAGCCGAAACCAGTTTGGCTCAGTGGATAAAGCGTTGGCCTGTGGACTGAAAGGTCCCCAAGTTTGGTTCTGGTCAAGGGCATGTACCTTGGTTGCAGGCACATCCCCAGTAGGTGCTGTGCAAGAGGCAACTGATTGATGATTCTCTCTCATCGATGTTTCTAATTCTCTATCCCTCTCTCTTCCTCTCTGTAAAAAATCAATAAAATACATTTTTTTAAAAAAAGAAGAAGAAAAGAAAAGAAAGAACAGCAAGAGGACCACCACTTCCTATGGCAGTGGTGGCCTCTGTGACAGACCCTAACAGGCCACCCAATATCATGGATGCCAGTTATTGTATCAAACAGGCTGAAGCCTAACAATATGGCATTCCATCCCTCTCATAAGGATCTAACTGAACTCGGGACATCCCCGAAAGGCCAATGGGAAAAGCCACTCTGAAGTGTTCTCCCCACTGCACCCCCTGTAAGTAGCCCAAAGGACTTACATTTATTATGGCATCGGTCTGGATATAGTCCATGTCTGAATCCTCCAGCCCCAGCTCTTTGCCCCCTCGCTGTGTAGTGCTGACAATCCCCGCAGTCACTGTGTTCTGCAGAGAAAACGGGCTGCCCAAGGCCACCACAAACTCTCCGGCCCGCAGGTCAGATGACTTTCCCAGCAGCAATACTGGAAGGTCAGTCTGCACATGGGCAAGAAGGATGGGGAAGACAATCAAGAATAGAATCAACAGGTGTTTGAGTACAGCACATATATGACAGTCTTTGTCATTTGGCATTTATAATCCAAGAATTGCCCACCCAGACTCTCATGTGTTAAGATGATTGGGGTCATTTCTAAAACCCAAAAGTATTGCTTTGTATAAGTTACAATAAATGAACCAGAAGTAAAGTAACTGATGAACATAAACTGACATTAGCAAATTACTTAGCTCAAAAGTTGACCCTTAAAATTAACTGGCCACAGCCGAAACAGGTTTGGCTCAATGGATAGAGCGTCAGTCTTCAGAGGGTCCCAGGTTTGATTCTGGCCAAGGGCATGTACATTGGTTGCGGGCACATCCCTGGTAGGGGGTGTACAGGAGGCATCTGATCGATGTTTCTCTCTCATCGATGTCTCTAGCTCTCTATCCTTCTCCCTTCCTCTCTAAAAAAAATCAATAAAAAATATGTTTTTAATTTAAAAAAATTAACTGGCTACAAACAAAGCTGACCACTCAGAGCAGTTCTTCTCAAATTTTAATAAGCCCACGAATCACATGGGGATCTTAAGAAAATGCAGATTCTAATTCAGTAGACCTGCCTGTCGTCTGAGATTCTGCATTTCCAAAAAAAATTCTTAGATGATGTCAATACTGCTGGAGTGCAGACTGCACTTGGTGTAACGGTAATGAGACCTCAAAGTAGTCCTTAGCAGCTCTGAATTCACTGTGATCATTCATGCTCTCTAAGACTACCCTAAGAGAAGTAAGTTTCCCAGAAGCAGCATCTGTTGAAGAGGCAGGGAAGGAGGAGAAGAAGAAGAAGAAAAAAAAGACTGCTGGAGAACTAATCAAAATTGTTGGGGATATACAGACTGGCATGGAAGAAAATAAACAGGCGGGCTAGAAAGAGTCAATGGGAGGAAAAGGGGGACATATGTAATACTTTCAACAATAATGATTTTTTAAAATTAAAAAAAGAGAGGAAATAGGAAAGGGACTAAAAAAAGGAAATTAGAAAATAGCATATACTAGGTGAAAAACATGTGTTGTAGGTGGAAGAGGGGGTGGAGAAGGAAACATGAGCACATTGATGAAAACCCCCAAATACGCAGACTCTGATTTAGACCGCACATACTCACACTTGGCTCAATCTTAATCAGAGCAAGGTCCAGTTTATGGTCAATGTCCTTGACAGTGGCTTCATACTGGACCCCACTCTGAAGCTCTGCCTGGATTCGCTGCCGGTTGGTGACAACGTGGGCATTGGTAACGATGAGCCCATCCTCAGACACTATGAACCCAGAGCCACTGGACACAGGGATGTCCTTGCCGCTGAGAGGTGACCTGTCTCGGTAAGACAACAGCGCAAGCAGAGGGCAGGAGAGTCAGGAATGCATCACAGTCTGGAAACACGGGAACCTCACATTTATCAAGCAAACCTCCAGCACAGTTTCCCCAGACAGGTTCCTTTCCCCTGTGTTTTCATGTTCTCTGGGTGTGATTGGAGTCTGCATGTTCAGTGGCCTGGTGATCTGGTGTGAATCCCACTGAGAGCTGATTCTAACTCTCCCTTTCCAGGGACACTCCCTCTTCAGAGCTGATCGGAGCAGCAGCCCTCTGCTTCCAATAAGCCCAACCTAATCACAACACCAGGGTCAAGAGTGGACCTGGTGCCAAACCATCAGGGCCCTGGCAGCGAGCTGGGAGCCCAGGAAGACTGGTTCCTGTTTAGGTTCCACCATTAACTGGCCTTTGACAGAGGATTTCCCTCCATAACAAGGAGGGGGCTGAGCAAGATTATTCAGATGCTTTCTACCTCTCGCACCTGACCTTCCATTCTATCTGTCTGGCAGATGAGGGAGAGAGAAACCCCGGCCGCCTAAGTGCGCAGGAGTACCCAGATTTGGGAGTCAGAACCCGTATCCCTTCAGGACCTTCACCAGATGACTGGACCGCTTTGAGTCTCATGGAAGCGCGGACCAGGAGCGGAAAGCCCAGCGGGGGAGTGGACGGCCCCCTTCGGCCTCCCTTACCTCCGAAATAGCTGCAAGTGAACCACCGAGGGCGCCACCTTCTCCACCACCTCTGCGATGAAGTTGTAGTTGCTCCTGAGCCAGCCTGCGCTTCTGGTCCCTGAGAAGAAATGCTCCATTATGGGGAGCGAGGGGACCCTCGCCTGCTGATCCTCTATGCCGGCAGTGTTTCCCAAAGTTTGGTATGCGTACCCCCAGTGGTACGGGAAGAGTTTGGTGGGGATATGCTCTGCACCGTGCTTAGCTGAGCCTAATTCTACATTCTCATGAGTACGAGGGGTACGCAGCGTTACGAAAATTATAGAAGGGGTACACATATGTCAAAGGTTTGGGAAACACTGCTACAGGGTCCATCTCAGATCTCTCAGTCTCTCCCCGTGTCTCTCTCCACCTCTCCTCCCTCCCCTTCCTCTCCTCAGTCTCTCTGGCCTGCATCCTGTGGTCCCTCTCCTGTAAGGATGAGCCTGGGGAGATAAGAGATCTACCAAAGGACTTGTATGCATGCGAATAAGCATAACCAATGGACGCAAAACTCTGGGGAGGAAGGGCATGTATGGGATTGGGGCGGGGGGGTGGGGCAAATGGTAAGATATGTACACATTTAATACCTTAATAAAAAAAATTTTTTTTAATTAAAAAAAAAGAATGAGCCTGGAGGGAACTAGGCCAGCCACCCGGTTAGGAACAAAACAAAACAAAACAAAAAAAAAAAAATTAGAAGGGAAGAGGACATTTAACAGGTGTGGGGAGGAAACTGGGGGGGAAGAGGGGAAGAGACACTACATGGGGACCGTGAAGAGACACCCCAGGAGGGAAGAAAATCGGGAGCAAGCAGTGGAATCCCTACGGCCAATGGAGCAGGCAGAACCCGAGGAGAGCTGCGCGATTCCAACAGGCTCCTTGAGAAAGTTTCCAGAGAGCACCGGGCCAGGCACCCACCTCGATACCTGCAGTCCCACCTCGATCCCTGCAGTCCCACCTCGATCCCTGCAGTCCCACCTCGATCCGTGCACCCACCTCGGTCCCTGCAGTCCCCCTTCTGCACTGGCAGCGCCGGGAGCGCCCCGCGGCGGCGCGCGATGCGGTTCTCGGCCCGGAGCGCGCACAGGCTGCGGTAGGTGCGCCCGTCGCTGCCGCACACGGCCGCCCCCACCGCCGGGCAGCCGCAGGTGCCCAGCCGCGTGCCCCCCAGGCGCCCGGAGCGGAGCGCCGCGCTGCACTGCAGCCCCGGGGCGCAGGGCCGGCCGAGTGCCCCGCCGCACACCTCGCCCTCGGCCGCGGGGCACACGCGGCAGCAGCCGCAGCGGTCCTGCACCGGCGCGGCCCCCGAGGCGCAGGTGGGCAGCGGCGGGCAGCGCCTTGGCTCGCAGACCGCGGGGCAGAACGGAGAGGGCCAGGTCCTCTGAGCCTCCACCCTGGGATCGGGCACCGGGGGCAGCAGCAGCCACAGCAGGAGGCATGGTCCCAGCCCAGGTTGAAGAGAAGGTCTATCCATGCTGCTCCCTTCTTCCACTTTCCCAATGACTGGACCCTGGACCCGCAACCACTTTTAAAGGAGAACACTGTCCCGGCCAGGGTGCCGCCTCCACCAGCCCCAGACTTTCAGGGGCAGAGCCTGGCAGCCCTCCCCACGTACACACCCATGCATCTTCCCACCCTGATGGCCACATCCACACACACCCGCCCCACGTCGCCCCCCCCCTCCAGTCAGTGATGAGAGGTGTGTAGCCCTACCCTGAGCAGGGACGGCATTGGGAAATCCATAAAACTAATAGGGACAGGATGGCAAGAAGGATCACCCGCCCACGGTGGGCATTAGGAAAACACACCACACTTCAGTATCCTCGTGTTTTTATTACAAAACAAGCCACTAAACAGTTTTAGAAAATTAATTTTCTGCTACATACCAATTCAGAGAGCACATAACATGAGAAGCACAACAGTTTCCATGCACTCAGCTCAGCCGTTTCAGCGGGCGCATTTCCCAGCTGAAACATACTGGTTCAAAACACAGAATCATGCCACACCTTCCTAAGCAGTGGGGAAGGGATCACACAGCTCAAACCCTACCTATTGTAGATGAGTGACGGGCACTGACTGCCGCAGGCAACAACGCAGAGAGAAAAGGGAATAATTAGAAAGGATTTAATAAACGGAAGCATTTCTGACATGTTCAAAGTTTATAAATGAAGCTGATTGGGGAAACTCCCATTTCCAAAATACTGTTACCTCCACGTGCCTTTTTTTATTTAGCTCTCAGCACAAATAGACATCAAATCCCACTCCTCCACTACAGAGCCTGCTATTTATTTCCTGGGTCCTTTTAGCCTATGTTGGAGCAGTTATACTCAAAGGAAGTGGGGGGGAAAAAACTTGTAAGTGAACCACAAAACTGGACCTTGAATCTACTTTCTCATGGGAATCTTCCAGCATTCTACCCAGAAACAGATGTGTAATTCCAACATTTTGACCGGAGGTCACTCTACTTAATGTATGTTTTTGTTGTCTCACAAGTATGCAAAAAGTCCAATTCTGTTCACCATCAACTGACATAAGAGAGCAAATCGGTAAGCTTTCAAAAGCAGTGGATGGTGAATAGTTCAGCTCTAGGGAAGACCACCTGAAGTAGTTACTATTAAGCGAATCAAGACCCCATCAAATGTCTGGTAAAAACAGCACAACCCAGAGAAGGATTTTATTCCACGAAGAAAATGCAGTACCTTTTTTAGTTATTTTTATTTTATTTTTTAACTCAGACTTATTCCAGAGCCTATGCATTGAACTACTAACCTATTGTGCACTCCTGCCCTGTTTTTTTTTTTTTTTTTTTTTGCTTCCATTTTATACATTTAAAAGAAAATGCTTTTGCCGTACATACACCATCTTTGGCTCACATGTGTAGTGACATTAAAAGGCTGTGCTGTGAAACTGGCCAGAAGATAAGAAATATGGACACAAAAGGAATTCTGAAATACGGCTTGGGAATGAGAATGCCTTCAGGTTTCAGTGAAGATAATTATATTTACCTGGGGTCGGCCACATTAACATAGTCTGACTTGGAATTTCCAGGAAACTGCCAACTAGAGTCCCTGTTTTCCCCATCAAGATAATACAATTTGGATTTGTAAACATGTTCAATTTAACACATTCTCAAAAAAAGACTAATGAATAAGAAACATATCAGCTTATTATAATGGTCAATTAATGTAGCAGTAGTAATCTAACAGAGAGTTTAATTTTAAAAGAGAGAGAAACGGATAAATTTTTACAGTTTACATACCAAAAGGTGGCAACTTTCCATGAGTTAGGGAATGTTTAAAGAGACCTCAAAAGTCTTTAAATTATTTTCATTAATTCAGTATGACTTATTGTGTACTTTCTTTGATGTAGGCAAATAATTTTCATTTCTGAGTAGAAAGGTGTACAAAAGTCTGGGGGGAGGGGAGAGAGAGAGAGAGAGAGAGAGAGACCAACCCAGTAGTAGATTTTCTTTTTATACCAGGACCCCTATGCCAAACAAGTTAAGAGAATGGTAGCTCCAACACAGTGCAGTCAAGAATGGTTCTCAACATGACGTTGACTTCAAGGAAAACATAAGATTTCCCTCAAGTCCCTAAGGATTTTCTGATCACATCTTTTCACCTCTGCATTAGATGTGGACATAAGCAGGGAAAGGGATTAACTTTGGTAAAAATACTTCTCTTAGTCTCTTCCACAAATCACTGATTTTATAATTTAAAAATATAATTACCTGACCTAGCTGGTAAAAGTTATAGACAGAAATGAGTTACCTTGTCTCTCCCTTTAGGGAACCCTGATAAGTTCCTGATAGCAGTTCACCATATGAATTGGATAGACAAATCCTCCCAGGGGCCCAGAAATAGACTTTTTTTCCCCCCCAAATGGAAGAAGGTACACCCTGAAATTTGGGTGAGTAATGCAATCTATGCTCTTCTTCCTGGGACATCTCTAGTCAGCAATGCATAGCCTCTAAATCAGTGTTTCTATGCAGTTTCTATTGTATTAAAAATATAAATATCTATCAAGATTATCTTTCTATCTCTCTGCTCTTCAGTACAAGGAACACCTCATCAGATTACAAGGTCAGATCATGCAAGAACATAAGGCTTCATTCAAAGGACGACACAAACAATAAAAAGAAAGCAAATCTGCCAGGGTACACAATACTACAGCTCTTAAACTTAGACTACTGTTGGACCATTAAAAAGGAGCTGTGAGGCAAGGATTCCAGATAATCTGTCTAGGATAAAACAGGCCTTTCCTTCTATTTGGGAAACATGGATCAAGGAAACGCTAACCCATCTCTTCCCAGCACCTGCTTCACAGCAAACCTACGACTCTAAAAGAGAGATCTGACCTATCACACAAGTGAATTATATACAAGTGTCAACCCTCCATGCATTCCAACTAACACCATATCAAGGGAAATGTCTGTTCTCAAACAGTCATAACATTTAACACTGATAAACCCATCCTTGGGGCTGGACCCAGAAACCAGGTCTGTCACTCACACTGACAATATTTGGGGTCAAAGAACATCTACATGAGAACAGAGTCATTCTCCAAATTGACTGATGTATTGAATGAGTCATTCCCCATTCCTTACAAGAGGTCCCTATTTCTTTCTCTATGGGGATCTGCCCTGATAGAGTAGCCCCCAGATTTTAACACCTCCCCTTAGAATGGATCCCAGTGAAGGGGAGCCTGGGTCTCCACCTTTCCTCTCTCTGGTTAGGTGGGCTAGTTACTACCCTTCTACTTCACAGTCAAACTTCAGCTGCTACAGAGGAACAGGATAAAACCAGATGGCTGGCCTAAGATTCTGTGTCTGTCCTGAAAACAAAGAGAAGGAACTAAAACGAGGCTGAGGAAATAAAACTTGGTGAGGGACAAAAATCTTCTCTCATCAGGATGATCTTGCAATAGTCGAGCAAGAGGCAACCTGCTCTCCATTGAACATGCCCACAGGTCTAACCTAGTGATTATCCCAAATTAAATACACTGCACTGATATTTCTTTTTTTTTAAAAAAAAAAAAAAGCCAGCTGGATGGGTCCCTCCCACAGAGCATCCAAAGGAATATGAGCGGCATAAAGGCCTCTGACTATCCTCCAACAGACAGAGAACCTGAGTCATGGCCTCCTTTTCTTGAGTCTTCCCCGTTCCCCCCTCCCTGGGCGCTGTGCCTCGTCACACGTCAGAAGTCCGTATGTTCTCATCATCAAGGTTGAACATAAATGGCTTTTCCTTGGGGTGCTGGGGCTCCGATCGGTGCCTGATCCGGGAGCTGGGCAACGCCCCCGAAGTATTGCTTTCCCCAAGTCGAGACGTGAACAACGAGTCCTCCAGAGTCTCTTCTGGGGGATGTAGCTTCTCCCCGGCCTGGGGGACAGGTGTCCAGGGCTGCCAGGAGGAGGCCACGGAGGGAGCTTTGCAGAGGGCTTTCTTCTCTTCCACGGGCGGCCGTCCTCTGCAGAAGACAGAGTTGGGCCCACCCGACAGGCTGGAGCTTCCAGAGCGAGTCAAAGAAATGGATCTAGAAAAGGACATTTCCTACAAACATAAAAGGGGGAATAAAAAAACAAAAAAAAACAAAGGAAAGTGAGGGCTTTCCTGACAATGTTTATCCCAAAGCCCCACGTTGAGTAACCCACCCACGATCAACGTCTCGTAGGCCAGAGACGTTTGTCTACCGAAATCAAGTCAGCCCAAAGGGACTCACTCCAGACTTGTCAAAGTCTGCCTGACAGGGAGCTGTGTAGGACACATCTATCCGGCCCTACCTCACCTCCTCCAAGAACCAAAACTAAAAAATAAACATGTGTACCCACGTCAGTCGAGAGAGAAAAACAAACAAGGCGGCCCGGGGCTTCAGCTGGGACCAGGCTCGGCACCAAATTAAAACCTGCCCACTCAAGGTCACGTATCCCCAAGCTGACAGCGACTATGCAACAGAAAGGAAGTGACTTACTCTGGGGTGGCACTTGAGGGCCTGGACAGCTGCCCTGATCTCTTTAATCCAGCTGTGCATGTCTTCTGGGCTGTCCGCCTGCAAAACACCCACAGCGTTTACACAGACATTCTGGGCCCTATGACTTCAGCTCTCGAGGCTCTGACTCAGTGCGAGGGTCATAAAAATCACACCATTAGAGCTGGAAGAATCTCGGAGATCATCATCTCGTCTAGTGGCTTTAGATTTTTGAGGACATCCCCCCCCCCCCCCTGCAAACTCGGATTTGACACTTCATAAATAAACCAGCTCCTAGTGGAGCAGCTCAGCAGTGGGGCAGAGGTCACAAGGGAGGGGAGAGCTTAAAGGCTCTCTCTCCGGTTGAAGTCCCAGATCCCCTTCTGGAACACAATCGGCCTGGTCCGGCTTTATAGAAAATGAAAATGAGCCCCAGGTAACCAGAGCTCAGGGTTTATGGCTAGTCTACATTCCAGTTCTGCTGCCTCTCAAGGCAGTCATCTCTCC